GGCTGTGGCAACAACGTCGGGGTCCTCCAAGGTTAGAAAGACGACAGCAGCGCCCACTTCGAATACAGTGGCAACTCAACCCGAGGACGGCGTGAAAAAGAAGAAAAAGAAGAAGAAACCTAAGAGAAGGCAAGAGAATGTGCCTACAGGGACAACTGTCCCTAATGCTGCCCCTCTGTCACCACCGTGCCCACTGCCAGAGCTCCCCTCTACTAATGAAGCGTGGAATAAGGTGGTAAAGAAAGGATTGCGCCGGAAGAAGAATGAAGGTGCTCAACAACTTCCAGCACAACCTAAGAGACAGGCAATGGCAACAGCTGCACAACTGAAGCTCCGTACGCCCAGTTCCGCAGCAGTTGTTTTAACGCTTCCGCCGGATGCCGAAGAGAAAGGCCTTACATACGTAGCAGTCCTAAAAGAGGCGAAGACAAAACTAAATCTGGCTGAGCTTGGTATAGAAGCGGTCCGGTTCAGACGAGCTGTCACGGGGGCCACCATCATTCAGGTCCCCGGGACAGGTGGTGAGGAGAAGGCGGATATTCTGGCGTCTAGATTAAAGGAGGTCTATGGTGACGGAAGAGTCCGGGTTTCCAGACCTGTTAAATCAACTGAGTTGATGATCTCGGGGCTGGATGAAACAGTCACCCCGGAAGAGGTCAAACAAGCCATTTGCTCTAAGGTCAGCTGCTCGCCGGACAATGTGAAGGTCGGTAGCGTCCGTCAGAACAGGACTGGCCTTTTTGCGGCATGGGTCAGGTGCCCAGTGACGGCGGCCAAAAAGCTGACCGAAGGAAGGTTATTAGTGGGATGGGCTTCCGCCCGAGTTGTTCTCTTGAGGGCCCGAGAACTGAGATGTTTCCGCTGCTTCCAGGGCGGTCATGTAGCAGCACGGTGTACTGCGGATATGGACCACAGTCACCTTTGTTTTCGGTGTGGTCAATCTGACCACCGAGCAGGGAGTTGCTCTGAAAAGCCGCAATGCGTTCTGTGTGCTGCGGCTGGCCAAAGAGCAAACCATCTACTGGGGGGTAACGCGTGTTCGGCCCCCAGCAAAAAGATGCCCAGAAGGACGTGGACCGCGAACAAAACGGCCACTGGTGCCCCACCGATCGGGGACACAGAGCAAATGGAGATAACACCTGGTTCATAGATGGCCCTCCAAATCCTACAGGCGAACATCAACCACTGCGCCAAAGCTCAGGATCTGTTACTCCAGAGCATGGCGCAGTGGTTAATCAATATCACAATAGTATCGGAGCCGTATATGATCCCCCAGAGGGAAAACTGGTTTGGCGACCGCAACGGTTTAGTTGCGATTGCCGTTTCGTTGCCTGAAGGCTTGCCTCAAGCCTCGCTAAAAGGAAACGGCTGTGTCGCTGTTAAACTAGAAAAAGTCGTTGTAATTGGAGCTTATTTTTCGCCGAACCGGAGTATTACAGAGTTCGAGGCCTTTCTGGCAGAAATGGGCTCCCTGGTGGAATGGGCTCGACCATTAAATGTTATTGTTGCAGGGGATCTCAACGCGAAGTCGTCTATGTGGAACTCTCCGGTAACCGAAGCCCGTGGCGATGCGGTGGTTGATTGGATCGCCACTCACAACTTGGTGATATTGAATCGAGGATCGGAACGCACATGCGTGCGAATGCAGGGCAGTTCTATCGTCGATGTAACTTTTGCATCCCCGGAACTAGCAAATCGCGTCTCCAACTGGCGTGTACTTACAGAGGTTGAAACGCTTTCGGACCATAGGTACATTCGGTGCCTGGTGAGTCCCCATCAACAGCTACCACCAGCAACTGGTAGATCAAATCAGCCTCCACCGGAAATAGGGCCAAAATGGTCCCGTAAAAAACTGGACTTTGACTCCCTGTCTTTGGCATCTTTGACAGAGGCGTGGTGCCCTAAGCCAAATACTATCTTAGCAGATAGAGAGGTGCAATGGTTCGGAGAGGCTTTGCGACGTATTAGCGACGCTGCAATGCCAAGGATCCGCCCTATTCCGCCCCGCCGACAAATGTACTGGTGGTCGCCTGAACTCACCCAGCTACGGACGGCTTGTGTAGTTGCCCGACGTCACTACACCCGATTACGTCGAAGACGCCTTGCTCCACACGATCCGGAAGAAGAAAGAAGGTGCTACGGCGAATACCAAGCAGCAAAATTAACTTTGCGCATTGCAATTGGAGAGGCCAAAGAGAAAGCTTGGGAAGATCTTTTACAAACTTTAGAGCTAGACCCATGGGGGCGGCCATATAGGCTAGTGATGACCAAGCTGCGCCCCTGGCTTCCGCCACTCACTACCACTCTAGAACCGGTGTTCCTGGATACGGTAGTCTCCGCACTATTCCCGGCTAACAGTTCGCATCCAACATCTCGCGACGACCTCCACTATGATGAGGAAGTCCCAGAAGTGACGCCTGAGGAACTCTCTGTTGCAATACTTAAGCTTCAGAGCAAAAAGACAGCCCCCGGACCAGATGGTGTTCACGGGAAGGTCTGGGTCCATGTCCTCAATAACGGGCTGGAAGAGAGGTTTCGGGAGTTGCTAACCCATATTTTAAAGAACGGCCACTTTCCGAGTAGCTGGAAGACGGGAAAACTTGTATTATTAAAGAAAGAGGGTAAATCACCTGAGTCCCCGTCGGCCTATAGGCCAATTGTTTTATTAAATGAAGCAGGCAAGTTATTCGAGCGAGTGCTAGCATCCCGCATAGTAAAACACCTTACAACGGACGGGCCGGATTTGGCCGATACCCAATTCGGTTTCCGGCGCGCCCGGTCTACCATCGACGCCGTTGCAAGGCTAAGAGACGTTTGCGAGGAGACACTCGCGCAAGGAGGGGTGGTGCTGGCGGTGTCACTAGACATAGCAAACGCTTTTAACACGATTCCCTGGAATACCATTATAGACGGCTTAATCTTCCATGACGTGCCAGTATACCTCCGGCGCATGATAAGATCATACCTTTCGGCCCGTACCGTCATCTACCCGGGTCGGGGAGGTTGGAAGGAACACAGGGTTGAGTGTGGTGTTCCACAAGGGTCTGTTCTAGGCCCACTCCTATGGAATATCGGATATAACTGCGTCCTTCGTGGCTCACATCTGCAAGGCGTCAGCCTAATATGTTATGCCGACGACACACTTATCACTGCAAAAGGTCGTACATACAGAGAAGCTTGCATCCTCGCAACGGCGGGGGTGGCACAGGTTGTGGCGCAAATAAGGCGCATTGGCCTCCAAGTCGCCCTCGAGAAATCTGGGGCGGTCTGTTTCCACGGTCCAAGACGAGCTCCTCCTGACGGTACACAATTGGTCGTATGTGGTGTGCCCATAAGAGTAAGCCCCACTTTAAAGTATCTCGGGCTTGTCCTCGATTCTCGATGGACTTTTAAGGATCACTTCTCGGCACTTGCCCCGAAGCTCGCTACCACGGCTATGGCACTCTGCCGGTTAATGCCAAATCTTGGTGGGCCGAGTGCGGGGTGTCGCCGGTTATTTGCAGGTGTGGTCCGGGCGAAGGTCCTCTACGGATGCCCCATTTGGGCCGATTGTCTATTCGCTCAAAACAGGGCGATTCTAAGACAGTCGCAACGGGCGATGGCCATAAGGGTGGCAAGGGCGTACCGCACCGTCTCTTGCGAGGCAGCGTGTGTTATTGCAGGAACTGCCCCCTGGCACCTCGAAGCGGCTGCCCTAGCCAAGATCTATTGGCATAGGGCAGATAGTAGAAGTAGGGGTTTCGACCCCCTTCCTGAGCACATAAACAGCTGGAGACGGGAAGCCCAAGTGACCGTCCTTCAGAAATGGATGGATGAGTTACAAGATCACAGGGCAGGAGTCTGGACAATTACATCTATACGTCCAGTGCTCAACTTGTGGGTAAATAGAAGATGGGGGGCACTCTCGTACCGACTCGTTCAGGTCCTCACAGGCCATGGATGTTTCGGTGGATACCTTCACAGGGTTGCCAGGAGGGAGGCATCCCCATTTGTCACGAGTGTGGTTTCGCAGACGACACAGCGCAACACACTTTAGAGGTTTGTCCGGCGTGGAGCTCTGAACGTAGCCTATTAACCGCCACCTTCGGATTGGACCTGTCGCTTCCAGTCATAGTTAAAGCTATGATGGAGGCTGACAGTGACGGCCCATGGAACACTTTCAAAGCGTTCTGTGAAGCCGTCACTACACTTAAAGAGAATGCGGAGAGGGTTCGGGAGTGTAACCCAGACGCCGACCCTCAACGCAAAAAAGGCCTGGAAGGAGACGTCGCGATTACGCACGTACTCCACTGGGACCTTAGGACAGGATTGGGCAACGCAGAATATGTGCTCACACAGCAGACGCTCATGACGGAGGCACGGATTAAGGGAAACTGTTACCGCGCCTACCGTCCATAGCGAACAGATGGGGCTGTTGGGTTTTAGTGGGTAGGTGTCCATTGCACCATACGGACTGACTCCCACACTCCCTGCGCCACTTTTAAATCGTTGCCCCGGCGCGGGGGTCAGTAAATTGATTTCCCAACAATAAAAAAAAAAAAAAAAAAAAAAAGAAAAAGTATATTAATATTTTTTTTAAATAACCTCATTTCCCGTAGCGCCGGAGCTGTCAAAAAAATGTATTATTATTCGGTTAGGTTAGGTTAGTATATTAATTTTTTTTTAAAATAACTGTTCAACTGAAACTCGAAATCGAATACAACGAATTCAAAATCGAATACTAAAATTGATTTTCACTTTTAAAAAATAGATTATTTTTCACATCCCTATTCATTTTATAAACGCAAACTGCCATTTCGAATGTGGATTTTGCCAGAATAGTGTGTGAGTGATAAAGTGAAAAAAAATTATTTAATTACTACACCCCTCCCCCCCTTCGCCCCCCGCAACCCCCAATTTGGGTTGATCGTTATCACATCTTTACCTTTACTCCATTTCTTATTGACACAGTTAGCTAGAATAATATATAGGTTCTTCACTGAGAATGTGTTTGTGTCTAAATGGAAATTGGTTTTAGGATAACACAAGAAGTACGTGAGTATGGACTGACAAAGCGCTAGGTAGGCTTATCACCTCATTTCCCGCGGCTCCCTTCGGTCTTATGAATATAGACAAAAAACTGGAAGCACTTAATAAGTAGGTTAATAATACTGGAAGCATCGTCTTCAATTCGTTTATCCCATGTAATGGGTTGGTCGATAATTAGTCCCAGATATTTGGTGATCTCTGTATATTCGACTTATGGGCATAGACACGGGTGTTGACTGATGCATGAAATTTAAAGCACATAAAATTTGTTTTGGTTACGTTTAGATGTAATAGATTGCTTTGAAGCCACTCTTTTAATATCTGATTCTCCTGCAACAGTGGCCAGTAAAACACACATCAATTAGTCATAATATGTCTAATTGTTTGTATAACCATCAAAGCAGACTCATTGTAGTCTAGCTAATAAGTAAGAAAAAGCTACACAAATCTCTCCCACGAGTTCCATTTTGCATGATTTATTATTACATAAAAACACAAGAAAATTCCCAACAGATGTACCAATAGTCAGCCTCAAAATGAGCTCTAGCAAGAACTCGTTTCACATCGCGGAAGGAGATGATGTTTACTTGGAATGCAGTGCAAGAGCCAATCCGCGTCCAAGTAAAATCTTATGGTTCAAACAGGTCGGTATGTTATAATAATAGTTTTAGATTCGTTATCGTTAAAATGATATTGTTAATAGTGGCACAAATTAATTTATAGTGATTATTTTATCATAAAAAAATCAGTGGCGCTACAACCTCTTTAGATCTTGGCCTCATTTCTGATCCTACAGACCTAGGCATGGTGACGGTGCCTGAGACTTGGCGTCGATTTCTGAATCTCGCACACAAGGGGGGGGGGGGCCCACAAGGGGCCAGCGCCAGGGGGAAGGGGGGAAGTTGATGGCGAATTGTCAATCGTGGCGCGCAATCGATTTTTTTTTGAAACACTTCAATAGGAATCGTGGGTAGGTGGCCTGTGGTGCTTACCACAATCGGCCATTGTTTAGCTCACCGCCGCTGAGGGGGAAGGAAAATTTTGTTAAAAAATTGTACAAAAATTGGAGAAAAAATATTTTTTCTTTGTCCTGTTTTGATGTTCCTGTTCGTGGTCAGCATCCACCATCGCCTTTTTCGCCATTTCTTTTTATAACTTGTGACGGTACACAACTTCCGTAATACTTTTAAACAGTATACAAATAAATCGACTTTTTCGACGTCCATCGCAAGTGGTCTACCAGGCAGCAATGGCCATGTCGGCATTGTGTGAACCTCACGATGTTTTCAGGCTTCACAGGCCATGGTTCAGAGCACACGATGTTTTCCTTCACCGTTCGAGCAAATGTTAAATGCGCACATAGAAAGAAAGTCCATTGGTGCACAGCCGGGGCTCGAACCTACGACCTCAGGTATGAGAGTCGCACGCTGAAGCCACTAGGCCAACACTAGTCTATTATGTATATTATATTATTTTATCCTAGGTGGACATTTACTGTATTAAAACAAAGATACACTTAGATACAGTCTTATTTATAAAAATATATAATAAGACACGAACGCTAGATCCGCCATTAGTCACATGTATGATGTCTTATGATGGAACTGAATTATTTAATGTAAATGTTCATTATGTTCTTTAGGGTATGGAAATAGCGCAAAACGTCAGCGCAGAGGTTTTAGTGAGCAAGCAAAGCCTGGTGCTGCAAAATGTAACGCGTAACGACTCCGGAGAGTATAAATGTACAGCACAGAACGATGAAGGAATAGCTACAAGCAACCCAGTTAAATTACAAGTTAGATGTAGGTATTTATAAAAATGCAAACGTAATTAAGACTATTCACTCTAATAGTCTCGACGGATAATTTTAATGACAATTTCGACAATTTACATTTACATGAAAACTTTCAATTAGCGGGATGAACGTAAATTAAAAAAAATCGAATGTAGTAGAAACTTGAATAAATTTAATTAAGATTATTAAAAAAATATTTAATTTATCATCGACAAATTTTCTGTGGAAGTGTCCATATAATTAGAACATATAACATTCAATATTTTATTTAAAACTAGATCATAAAGTGTGATCAAGAAGATATTATAATGTGTCTAATATAGTGAAAAACTTTATAATTTTTATATTTCGGATATTGAAGTGTTTTATTTTCGGTTTAATTGTGAGTTCAGGAAGTGTGATTATGATGGATTTATATATCAAATGCAAAGTTGATTATGAAAATACCACTTTCAAAAGTGTTTACAATGTTATGCTTACTAATTTAAGCCAAATTGTGATCAAGTTTTTACCACCTTCAATGAGAATGTACACCTACATAACGATGTAAGCAATGATAGTTTACCGCGTTCATTAATACCATTTATTCATTAATAATGTGATCGTATTGCAAATAATTATACCCATGTAATAGCGTATAATTATCAACATGACTACACGTATTGACTCACAACATTGCAGTGGTTATAATTACCATAGCTAGGGAGCTCGCTAGCAATAATTATACGATAAGGAATATTAAGGAACACGCATGTCACCTTGGTAGCGCTGCGTTGGCAATTGGTAGCCACTTAAAAATGTAAAAAAAACACAGGTATATTATATCATATGCTCGTGTCCGCCTTTCAGGCTGATGCTTAAAAACCTTGTCAAAATGAAAAAAAAAATAAAAACAGCAGACATAGGACTCTGAATTTTTAAATTGTACATTTTTAAATATTAATTGAAATAATTAATGTACACACAATCACACGCGAGCACGCATAGCCATTAGCCATAATATCCACTTTTCCTCAGATTCGCGGACTTCAACGAACTGTAATGGTTATAGTCAGTAAGTAAAAGGTCTGACATTTTTTTTAAAAGTTATACTTCTTTAGGCGCGTTATGAAAAATTTACACCATGACACAAAATTAATTATCAGTATGGGCGCCGAGCGTGCGCGGGCGAGATGGGAATAAGACAATCTACAAGTAAAAAGAAATAGAATATGCGTGACGTTAGCAGCTATGCCAAGAATTTTGAATGACCATAATGACATTAATTGTAGTACCTTTTAAACAAATAAAGGAGTTTTAATTATTTTTCAAAGAAATTTAGCAATGCTTTTTCACAAAGACCTATTGTTACTTAGTTAAAAGGTTATGAAACCTACCTAGTTATTAAATTGAATTAATAATATAATAAAATAATAAATAATAATAATTATTAATATTAATTAATAATTGAATAATATACTAAATATTAAATATTGTTAAATTATTAACACTAAATATTTATTATTAATTATTTAATATTTAAAAAAAATAAAGAAAGCCAATGAAGTATAACTTCTTACGCGCGTACATAAGTACACGCACCATTTTTTATTTTGTTTTCAGGGGGTTTTGATAAATCGAATGGACCCATTTCCAGCTACGAGCAAATGAAAATAGAGCTTTTTATTTACATCTACCTCCTGCGATAGTGCAGAGACCTGGCCTTTTCTTCGTTATCTAAATAGTATTGACCATTAACCCCAGAGACAGACACGAACAAATGATTTAGTATCGATTTTTTCTTATAGATTTAAACGGTAAACTCATGTAGCTTAAAAACGCAGCAACGTACTACCTTAATTCATTATGAATATTTTGTATTAATAAAATACGAGCAAATCATATACTTAATGCTCGCCAGATATTTTTTTTATTTTGACTTTGTTTTGTTAATTGCACATATGAACAAAATAACGTTGGTGCACAAATTGAAAAATATCTCAATATCTAATTCACAATTACTATTATTAGATCCACCAACGTGTATCTCATCGGAGAACAGCCGAGTACTCGTAGTGCTGGAGAAGGAGACGGTGGAGTTAATCTGTGAAGTTAACTCTAGCCCGCCACCAAATCACTTTATGTGGTCGTTCAATAATTCCAAGGAATACATGGATATAGATCCAAAGTATGTTGCATTGTATTTATTAAACAATATTTAATAATGTATTTCTAACATGAACATTTTTTAATTAAATTAGGTTAAAGAAAGTGCTTAAACTTCTGCTATTTTACTGAAATTTCTAACGATTTTTTTTTTTTTGACAATTCACACCAATTGACCTATTTTATGAAATTTGTTTGGGGGGAAAGGGAAGGAATACATCTATATATAGATAGACATATAAATACATATTTAAACATCCAAGACCTAAGCACAACACAAATCTCATCACATCGATGTTCGTCTCAGCCGGGAATCGACCCGGGCCCATGGATTCGCAGTAGGGTACTGACGTCGTGATTAGAAACCTGGAGAGACAAAAAATATATTATCTTCCAGAAAACGTCAAGATATAGGCAGCATAGTATAAGTCAATAAGGCAGCATAATTTATCACTGCTCACTGCGACGTGAATGCTTGCCGATAGAACGAAAAATCTAATGGTGTAAAGACGGCGTGTCTAAATATGTATATTTTTTCAGATACTACAAATCAAGGGGATGTACATCAACTTTCCTGTACACACCAAGTTCAGAAGAGGATTTTGGTGTCGTCTCATGTTTGGCTTTTAACACCGCAGGCCTACAAGACGAACCATGCAACTTTATACTGGTGGCTCCTAGTAAGTACTTTATCTTCTTAAAAAATAAAATTTTAGTATATTTGATTGGTCTTAATAATATGGTCCATTTATATCCTTACGGAGTATATTGACATTATCATTGGAACGCTCATAGTAGACAGCGTTTATTTATTTTTGAGTCGTCTCGACCTAGTGGTTTCAGCGCGCGATTCTCATCCCTGGGGTCGTAGGTGCGATCACCGACTATGCACCAATGGACTATCTATGTGCCCTTTTGACGTTCCCTCGTTCGGTGGAGGAAAACATGGTGGAAAAACCTGCATACCTTAGTCCCAAAAAGTCGAACGACGGGTGTTAAACTTACCTACTAGTTTCGCCAAGTATTGTTGGAGACATAGTGTGGATAAGAACTCTGTATTTGGATCTGTAGTTATATCTTTGAGTATTTATTCCATGTCGAAGAATGAAATTGTTCAGGAAAGCCTGTGCAATTTCTACAGAACTCTTATAAAAAAATGGTTATGCCTCTACGTATTTAGATACCTCACAATGGAGTGTTAATATAAAGAAATATTTTTTACTATCCCTAACTAGGGGTCCTACGGTGTCTAAGTAATTGTTTTCGAAGGCAGGTGTTGACTTGATTTTTAAATTAAGCACGGTAAATATAAACATTATTAATTAATTTATAATATTTTTTATTTCCTACGTTACCACTTATTTGCAGAAATTAACACTTATTGTGCTTTGTTCACATTTTAACAATTTTCAAACAACATGAACAGTTTTATAGTTTCACGCGTGTTTTTTGTGTGCATGGACCAACTTTGATGATTCAGATAAAATGTTTCATGAAAGTTCAGAACTACGCCTCGCAGTTATTCGCTAATTAATAAACAATAAATTAGTTTTTTTCATATTTCGAGTACCGTTTATGTAGGGTATAATTAAGAAACGTTTTATAAACATGCACAAAACTGAAATATCTACATCAATATCTACCTTAGTGATGATTCCAATGTCTGTTACATAGTCCTAATAGTTGTGAGAGATTTCAAGACGAAAATTCTCTTAAACTTTTTGAACGATAGTGAATTGTTCAAAAATTATATTTCAATATTGCTTTATAAGAGCTTGGAGGCGAGGTAGCGAGTTGGTAAACAAGTTGCGTTTGACTGAAACTTTTCATAGTTTAATACGAAAATTCCAATACGGGCTGTTATTATGAAAATCAACAGTTTGTTCTTTAGTTAATTAGTGAAAAAAAATGTTCTGAATCTTAATTCCCCTTCTTTTTTATCAGTTCTCTTAAATATTATATTCGCAAACGCAAATTGCGTAATTTAGCGTGAATGCGTCTGGTTTTATTTATTTATACTAATACGTATTGTGTCGTTTCTAAATAACGGAGTCCTGAAGGCGCGTATATATTTAGTATGTTTCTTAATTGAACCTCTTTGTAATTAAACATTTCACACACACATTTACAAGGATCATAAGATATTGTACTGCCTCCGTCGTGCCTGCCCATTTGGCTGAAGCAACCGTATGGACTCCTACTAGTTTGACTGATTGCACTAGAGAATAACCTTTGTCACAGGTTATTTCACCAGTGGGCGATGGGGTCGTCAAGTCTCGACGCCAAATAATGAAACTAGAACTACACCTAATCTTAACTAATAAAGTTGAGAATTGTTTATTTGCCGCAAGATCTAATACACAATTCATAAGCTATCATGGAATTAATTAATTTTATTATTAAATTAACTTTCTACCTTTGATATTAGGATCATGTTACTCTGTTGTTTATTGTATGTCATTTGACGAAGTTATTTTTATGTATTTAATTTTACTTCATGAGTTCCTGTAACTTTCCTATGTTCTATTTTTATGACCAATTTTTAATTAGCCCTCGATAAGTTTATTCTGTTACATTCGCGAATTTTTTGAATGAGAAATGCCTAAACTACTAGGTTGGTTATTACAGACAGAATTTGGAAAATTCTACTGATTTTGTACCTTGGGAATGAACGATGACGGCAATGTTAATAGTTTGTTTGTTTATAAATTCGTCCCTACTCAATTTCCACTCCCACTGGAAAATAGTGTAGTGTAAATCATATTTACTTGGTCGTTGTATTATTGCTCTACCCTTTTAACGGTTTAATAGAAATGTTTGATGATATTGTCCCGCTTTTTTTTCTCTGCTGCGGCAAGTAATGCAGTGGCATTGCGAAAGCTTTATTGGTGTTTTCGTCAGATTTGTGTATCTGTTTTTTCATAAAAAATTGGAATATATTGAGAAAAACAGATGATTAGCATCAGGATGAGAAGTCAATTGGTACTCAACATGCTTGATAGTGGCTAGATAGCAGCAGAGATCTGCTGCTTGGTGAACTGAAAGAATTTAACAGAGTTGCTTATGCAAATTAAATAAAGAGCCGTCATCCTTAGCGAACACCATAAAATTAAATGTCTCTTTTCAATATATGACGGAGAGAGATAGGGAAAAAGTTTATTGATAATAATTAGTCACAGAAACGACGAACGAGGGTAGCACCTCAATAATAGCACAGGAAGGTCTAAGATTACACGCGAAGGAAGAAAAGTAGAAAGATTTTTTAATGTTTTTAATATTATTTTTATTTTTCTCATGTAAGTTACAGGTATGTTTTTGTTTTTAATGAGAAGAAATTCCATTAAACCTAAAAACAAATGCAGTAACTGTCAATTAACGAAATTAATATTGTCGTATAATGATAGGATGGCAGAGACAATAACCGAGAACCTGAACAATGACTAGAACATGACTTAAATAGAAGCCGATATATTATTAAAAATAGTAACGTCAGTAATTCTGATGTCATATATTAATTTGTCGTTTAATTTCGACTTTAGAGGCTTCTTTATATAGGCTTCCCCTTGCGTCGACCGTTTCATGGAACTAATCAAATCGAAGGCAAAAGGCAAATGAAATAAACCTCTTGTATAAACTTTTTGAACTAACTTGACTTTGATGTTTTTAATTTATTAGCTCTGTGACATAATGAAAAATGTCGGCAGTAAAGTTATTCATTATTATTTTAATTTAAATTACAATAATGATAATGGAATCACTTTTATCGCTAGAATCAAATAGTCGTTAATTTGTAGATCTATCTGATAGATGTAGATATTACTATATTGGCATACAATAACCACTAGTATTAACGATTTTCCTTTCGATGTTGTTAATTTATAAGCTCAGTGGCATATAATGACAATGACAGCTGACAGTAGCGCCATTGCTACGACATTTATAACAGGTCATAGGTTGAAGAGTCATCGTACTAAGAAATATCCTCGTATAATTCTGTATTCTGTATTCTTTATTCTTCTGTTAATTAAATTTAAAAAAACGATAGAATTTAACTTTATAGTTTAGACGGGCAAATTGATTGCAGTTCACGTAACATAAGAAAATAACATGTAGGTATGATAATGTATGTGGTATGAGAATACTGAGAGTATTAGACGAATTATATTGAAAATCGCATCTTAAGTGCACTTACGAGAATACGGCTTTCAAACTACCGAGGAATGATGACTGCTGTATAACTTGACCGTGTGTAAATAGTTTTATTTTATTTTTATTTATTGTATACATAATCTGAAATAAAAAAGAAGTTTATAACAGTGTGGTGGAAACACAAACTGGACACTGGTCCTGGTGGACAAAAAAACAGACGTCGAACCGATTTTAATAATTAACTTATATACTAAGGCCAATAACATACACACACTCGTATAGATATAGATAGCCGATGCAAGAAATCTGTTTTCTACGAGAATTCTCATTCGAATACGAATTACGGTTTTATTCATGTATTCGATTCAGAATTTATTGAAGATAATGTCTGATTGGAATAATTTTTTGTTGTACATAATTTGTAAGTTTGATTTTATTTCTAAATTTTATCTATAAATTTTATTTTATTTCTTGTTATATCAATAAGAAAGTTAGAATGTCACATTGACTTCAGTCTTTAGGAATTACACACATATTAAAAAAAAAAAACATGAATGTGTAAAGATTACACACAGTTAATGACTACCTACCTAGAAGACAAAAACGCGTGGAAATAGTTCTAGTTATATTGTTATAATTTGTTTTGTTATCTTTGAAGTGTTGTGAATATGTGTGTAATGGAGAATTTGGAACATTCACCATTAGACACATCCATCATATTCATCACAGAACAGATTTTTTTTTACTTATGTAACTTTAATGACGTTGTGGTTTATGACATTTTCCTTTGAATAATTGTAATGTAGAGGGAGGGTAAAACTTGCTGAGTTTCAGAACAAGGCCTCCTGGTAGTTTTGCGAACGGATGGCGTAGTCTTGCTCTTTCGCGAATTTTGTAAACGATTCTGTCATTCATAAGAATTCCCTAAGACGCATCTAAACTGAATAAACTATTTTGATTGATTGATATAATAAATGTCGAAGTTTTGTTTTCTTTATTTACCTTATACTATATGTATATTATATATATATATATATGACTTGTCCTGCAGATATTTAAAGCGATTAGAATTAAGGAAGGAAGGAAGGAAAGGACAGGCGGGGGCCCCTGCCGGGGGGGGGTTGGGGAATTAAAACCATTCCCAGATCCCCTAAAACACAAAAAAATTTTACAAAAAACGGGGCCGTGGTTTAGGAGGGTTTTTGCCAAAAACCCCCCCAAAAGAAATATATATATTAATATGTCTTGCAGCTGTACCAACGGCGCTACATAACTGTTCAGTGTTGAATCAGAGCGTTACAGCTTTGCAAGTGGAGTGTCAAGAAGGCTTTGATGGAGGTCTTATGCAGTTTTTCCACATGGAGGTGCTAGAACTACCTTCTATGAATGTGAGTACATAGGTTTTCAATTATTAAGAATTTTTATAGCGAATATATTTGAAGCTTACATTAATGTAGTGATAGTTGACATTAATTTTTATTTGTTAAACAATCATGAAGTTCATTTTTTTAATTATTTTATTTGTATAGAGAAAAATACATAACATATTTGACGTTACATTTTAGACGTAATTATTTATGTCATGTTAATCTAATCCTAATATATTTCAAAGATTCCAAATGTAATCAAAAATTGCCTTCTTATTTTTGGTATATCATCTGATTACTAACATTTCGGCAACTAAATGATCTGATTTGCACTAACAGCCGTAGTGAATTTATTGTAAGATTTACCGTCATAGAAGTTAATTCAATTATTGATATTCTACATATAGTATAAATCCCGCTATACAACGACCTTCACCGAGATGCTTATTTAATTAAACTTATTTTATATTTAATTTAATATGTCAATAAATATAATCCATATGGGTTGCCTAGCAAATTTCAGTCCAGAGTATTCTAATTAATATTAAAAAAATTTTTTTTTATAATTTGCATGTAGTAAATTTTTTGAACTTTTTTCAATCAATATTTTTAATCAGGGTAGTATAAATTTTAACCTTCTTTTATACTAAAGATGTATATATACTTTAGTGTCACATAAAAAATATACACATAAATAATTAATTGATTAAAAACAACCTAACTTTGCATATTCTATGGGCTTCATAGTTCGATTGTATAGAATTTATCTAATAATCATACCGTGAAATTTTAAAAAAATATTTTTTTAAATTAATTAAACATACTCTGGACTGAAATTTGCTAGGCAACCCATATGGATATATTTATTGACATATTAAATATATATAAAATAATTTCATTAATAAATTGTGGTGGAAACCAATACACCCGAATCAATATCGAAATAATAATCGAAAGCTTAAAAAAGGTCCACTATATTTATATATATACCTTTTATAGTTAAGCTGAGTCATTCTATATATGTATATATATATTATTATTAATCTACTATTAGAGATTAATTTGAGCAGTGTCGGCCTAGTGGTTTTAGCGTGCAACTCTCATCTCTGAGGTCGTAGGACTCCATCAATTAACTTTCTATGTGCGCATTTAACATTCGTGAAGGAAAACACGAGGAAATCGGCATGCTTTAGACCCAAAGTCGACACCATGTGTCAGGCATAGAAGGCCTTTAGGGCATAATTTTTAGTAGTTAATGATTACGAATTAGTAACAGGAATCTGAGGCCTAAACCTAAAAAGGTTGTAGCGCCACTGGTTATTTTATTAGAAATAAATGAATGGGTGATTTTGAGTTCAACCGTTTTTACGTACCATATTAAGTATGTAGAGGAATTTTCTAACCGACTTAGGAAGCTCACTTCGATATAATTTAATCTAATGAAAAAATTAAAATACAATCATTGCAAATATGCGCTTAAACTTATTTCATATCTTTACTAACATAAACAATTTAGTGTAAAAAAGATTTTATAAATATCATATTTCGTATGTATACGAATTAAATAAATATCGTTAAATAGCATTAAAACTTTGGGATCGGTATCGCTGTCGCTGTAGGAAGTTACAGAGTAACTACAATGTTTTCTTTACGAAGACGCTTCCATTGGTTTATGGTTGTGACCTTAAAGTTCAGAATCGCCGAACCACTATACTAACACTGTTCAATTGCCCATAATTACTTTGAGTTAACTTTTCTATTAGGTTCTGTCAAACGTTACCTCAAATATATCAGTTCTGGAGGTAACTGGTCTCCCTGAGCGCGCAAGAGCCCAGTATCTTCTCAATCTGTACGCATCGAATGCGAAGGGAAGAAGCGAGATCTCTACCTTGTATACTGTTATTTCACCTAATCGATATACAGGTAAGTTCTATATATATGTAGGTATTACATCGGAGTCAAGTTCCAAGATCTAAAAGCCTCAAACCGATGCATTTACATAAACTACAAAGTTGCTTGAGAGCTGTTCAATCTTCAATAATATATCAATGTCTCAATTTGGTTTTTTGTATTGCGTAATAAATATTAATTACAAATTAATATATATTGTACTTGTTTATACAGTATCCTAAAAAAATATCTACGCCTGATGTAAAAACTTTTTGTTAAAATAAATATATGAAGTCAAAAGTTGCGCAAGCATGAAATTATATTTTTTTCGATACGATAAATTGTTGGTTTTTAAGTAACAGGGAAACTATATCTTAATGTATAGAGGAGACAAAAGTGGGTCAAATGGAGTAGGATTTATCGTCAATAGTAACTTAAAAAAGAACATTATAGATTTCACAACTTACTCAGACAGAGTCGTAAGATTAGACATTCAGTGTGACACAACTGTGTTAAACATAATACAAGCTTACGCACCTATCGAAAGAGCTAAAGAAGAGCGTGGAACGATTTTACACCAAGTCACTCAAGCTTTCTCAAACACTGGGAAACACGTCATTATACTAGGGGACTTCAATTCAAAAATTGGGCTTCCTCTACCTGAAGAACTACAATTCTGTTATACAAACAAGTTCGTTATATCTAATACCATATTTAAGAAACCTCAAAAACGGAAATGGACATGGCTATCACCCAATGGCAAAACTAAAAACGAGATAGATTTCATATTGATTAAAGATAAAAGATTCATAACAAATTTTGAAATTCTTCTCCAATTCCCGTCTGATCACAGAATGCTGAGAATATCCTACAAATTACAACAAACAAAGAAAAAACGTAAATTTCTTCGAACTAAGAATAAAACGTTTCTACCTATAGAATCAAATGTGATGGGAATGATAGTAACAAGAGAACTAGCTGGAAATCCTACACCTGAAAATATAAATAACCACTATAAAACTATAGTGTCTGCAATACAAAAAAAGCACTTCGTACTTACCAACAAATGCGATAAAAAAAGACCAAGAAAGCAACACTATAAACAATAATATCCTAAAATTAATAAATGAAAGAGAAAAACTTAAGAACACATGGCCACGCTCAGACATAGAGAAAAAAAGGCTAAAGAAACTTTATAGAAAAATAAAGAAAAAAATAATTGAAAGGAAAAATAAAATAAAAATGAAATTGATTAAAAGTGAATTGGAAACAAGAGGCTCTACTAAAAACAGCCAGAAAAGCCACAAAAAGAATGGATGCACTCAATAAAAACAAAATCAGGAGAAAACTATAACAAATCGACAAAGCATCCTTCTATCAGCTACTGACTTTTATAAAAAATTATATTCGGAAAACCAACAAACGAACCCAGTCGACTTAAATATAAACCAGATAACGATCAAGAACAGGTCCCTTGCTTTCTACTAGATGAAGTCGAAAGCGCTATCTCAAGAATGAAGAAAAATAAATCACCCGGCGAAGATGGCATCACCACAGACAGTTATAGCAACGCAGAACAATTGGCACCACACCTGACTAATATTTTTAATAAAATACTTGAAAGAGAAAAAATACCCGATCATTGGACACATTCAATAATAACTACTCATATACAAGAAAGGAGACTCCAAACTAATAGATAATTACCGCCCAATCAGCTACTACCAACTTTATACAAACTTTTCTCATCACTCTTACTCTTCCGATCAGTAAAGCTTAGACGAACAGCAACCACGAGAGCAAGCCGGATTTAGGAAAGGATTTTCAACTGTTGACCATATCTTTACATTGACACAGTGCATTGAAAAGTGCAGAGAATATAACAAACCTATACTTGGCATGTTGATTATACTAAAGCGTTTGATTGATTTTACAAACACATTTATGGAAAGCATTAAAAGAACAAGAAATAAATAATAAAATTATTAGAAATTAAAACTTATATATGACACTATAACGCCAAAATACAACTAGAGAGTTATGGGCCACTATTTCGAATTAAACGTGGAGTCAAAACAAGGCGACCCTATCTCACCAAAACTTTTACAGCTCTATTAGAATCAAGTTCAGGAAACTACTTGGGCAAATTGTGGACTTAACATAAATGGAGAATTCCTGTCACATCTACGCTTTGCCGATGACATAGTAACTGTCAAATACTCATGAAAACCTACAAATCAGTTTCAACACTAAAACTGTAAGTAAAAATATAGGCTTACAAATGAACATGACAAAAACCAAAATTATGACCAATGACGACCGCATAATTACAACAATAGAGTCATGTGTAATAGAGTATGTAAATGAATACATTTATTTAGGGCCAACTCATTTCCCTGGACGATCTCACAGAAAAAGAGCTAAGTCGACGAATCGCCATCTCATGGAAAAAATTCTGGGCAAACAAAAGATATATTCAAAAACAAAAAAATACCAATTCACTTAAAAGAAAAAAACTGTATGACAGCACGATTCACCAGCCATAACGGGCCAGACATGGTCTCTAACAAAAAAACAAATAAAAAAACGTCAGTATTCCAAAGAGCAACAGAGAGATCGATGCTGGGTGTAAGACTAAGTGATAGAGTAAAAAATATAGAGATCCGGAAACAAACCAACTTAAGTGCGAAATGTACTGCAAACTCAAATGGATGGGCAGGACACATAAAGAGTAAATGACGGAAGATGAGCGAACGCGTACTTCATTGGTATCCCGGAGACGGCCGAAGGAACAAGGCACCGGAGTGAAAGGAATGCATGGCCGGCAACACCTGGAAGGGACCTCAGAACCGACAAGAGCAAAGGAAGGCAAGGGAGGCCTTTACCCATAACCGGTACCCAACTAATAAACAATTAGTTATTTAATATACTATTAAAATAATACTAACAATAAATTAAGAAAACTAAATACTAAACAGCTAAAGTAATGTATTTAAGGTTGGCAATAAAAGGCTTTTGAATTTTGAAGTAACAGGCATAAAATGTTACCTTTCTAAGTAAAAAATATACGTATACAGATGCAATCAGTCACAAATGTTAAAGCTCAAACCAATTTACAATTGTAGATAAGGTATTAGCAGTGTCAAATTTAAAAACCAGTCTTGTAACTTTGATTCATGAGCTTGAGAAATAAAATATGTAATGTAAAATATCAGTGGGAAAACGGACAGGAGGCTCATCTGATGTTAAGTGATAGCGCCCGCCACCCATGGACACTTTCAATGCCAGAAGGCTCGCGAGTGCGTAGCTGGTCTTTTAAGAATTGGTACGCTATTTTATTGAAGGACCCGAAGTCGAATTGGTTTGGAAATACTTCAGTGGGCAGCTCACATAGTGCTGATGCGCGCTAAAAACAAAAAAACGAAAACGCTCCGTAGTGGAACGGTGAACGTCGAGGTGATACGGGTGGAATTTCGTATTCTGCCTCGACGTCCGATGATGAAACTCAGCTGAAGGTATTTATCCGATTAACTCCTCTGAACACTCTCCATGGTAAATACGGTAGAAGATGCAGTGACGCCATATTTCTACGTAACGCCAAAGCTCGGAGAGGGATTGATCGTCACGATTCGAACCGATCTTCGTTGAATACGGTCAAGTGGAAGGAGCTGGTACTGGGGAGCCCCCGCCCAGAGGTGAGAACCAGTACTCCATGTGGGGCAGAATTTGCGCTTTATATAGTTGCAGCGGTGGCCCGGAGTGAAGTAGTCTTGCCTTGCTGAGCACACCAAGCTTTTTGGAGGCTAATTTAGCCTTTCCCTCTAAGTGACCTTGTGACCGTGTTCATTAAATATATCCGATACTAGCTGAGGCTTTAAGGAGTATCTTTAAAGAGAAGAGTAGAGACAAAGGAAAACACGCGAACTTGTGGGTTAAATTGGACTAGATTTAGTCTACCCCAGTGTGAGACTCCGAGTAGCAGGGTTTCGTCTTCAAACACAAGTTTGTTCCGGTGCTTATCGACAACTGCGCGAGAAAAACCTGCAGGGCCAGTATAAAAAGTATCCCCAATGCTGTCGTCCGCATAGCAATGGATGTTGCTAAGTTGCAACATATCATTAATATGCAGAATAAACAGGGTCGGGGATGGAACACAACCTTGTGGGACCCCAGCCTTCACGGGTTTATGGTCGAAACATGCTCCGTCGGTGACAACCTTGAGAAAGCTGAAAATCCAGTTGGATAATTTCACGGGGAGCCCATAGGCTGGATGTTTCAAGAGAAATGCTCTGTGCTACACCCGATCGAAGGGTTTCGCTGAGTTCAAATCTCTCTCAACTTAAACCCGGCTTCCCTAGACCCCACTGCCACCAACCTTACGCGGTCTGTAATTGAAGTGAGACCTAATAAGTTTTGAAATTCAGATTTGCAAAGAGGATCATCCCAGCTGCTTTGAAAGTTGACGCTCGAAGGCAAACTCAAGCCTGGATTGGTTGCTAACCACGCATTTCTCGCATCTGTTAAATCTCGTAGTTTTTAGAATAAGATCTAATGATTTTACCTACCAGACTGCTAGATTTGTGAGCAGATTTGACAAATGCTGTAAGAGCTATACTCGTTATCTTGCGTACTCCTAATCCGCCAAAGTGAATAGAGAGCGATGCTTAATTCCATGTTTTAAAACGAACGTTTAAAATAGATTCCAAAGGAGGTTTTAAAAGATTATCCATTCATAGGACAACAATTATTTTAAAATTCTTTTACCGGTTTTTATAGAACTAACCAATCTAATTCTATTTAAGTCAACAATATAATAAAGCTTAAAAAATATTCATCAATTATATTATGCCAGTGTCGTAATGATAAGATCGATATCCATATAAAGAAGAAGTAGAAGACGTAACCCAAATAACACTAAAATATAGCAATATTCCAAAGCAAGTAAAAAAGACAAAGATTAAAATTTACATAAATTAATTAGTATTTATGAATGTCTAAAATGAATGGAATTGATCGCTCGATTTGTGATATGAAAAATATACCTTATTAATGTTCCGGGAGGATACCGTCTTATTCTTATAGTCGTTTCATTCTTGGCTGAAATGTATTGATTGTTTGTACTGAGACTTGTGAATGTATGTACATGAAAACAAAAAAGAGGTTACCGAGCCGAGTTGGGGTTTTTAATAATCATAGAAATACCCGGATTCTATAAATAACACTAACACTATTCTAAATTGGGAATGAAAATAATAAAAAAACAATGTTATAATTGCCGTGGTGTATAAAGTATTAAAAAGTAAATTGCGCGTCTGCCAACAGAATTTAAGAATGGTAAAATTGTAACGTAATTAAATGTGTAATTTTAGTATAATATGATTATATTTATGCAATAAATAAGTGGTAGCCAATCAGAAGGTTCTAAGATATATCACACATTTTGTTTGTTTAATTAATATGAAATCACCGAAATAAATATTATATTTTTGAATCTAATACTTTACAGAAAAATATTAATACATTACTAAGTCCTTTATTGGTAGCATAGGATGCTGTGTAAGCAGGGATACTGAGTTTTAGTTAACAGTGGAACGATAATTGTTTTTAGATAATTTGACCTCAGTGGTATTTTTTTTACAGAGTCACACACTCCGCTGTCCCTGTCGCCAATGTTAGGGTCCTTTATCGTAGTTGGGGGTTTGTTAACTGCCTCAATATGTGCAGTGCTTGCGGCAACTTACCGCCGGCATAGGATCCGTAATAATCGACCCTCCAAGTGAGTTACTATAGTTAAAGATGCTCTAATGATAACACTCTAATAATAAACTATAAGTTTTTTCGCGAGTACTATACATAATAAATGATTTACATAAAACTGTAATAATAATAATAATGTAAATAAATTAATGTATTAAATAATTCGACGTTAGGAATGTTTTATCTGAGTTGTATAAAAATTCGCGTTTTATCTTTTAATTTTTTTCAGATAATTTGAGTTAACTTAATGTAAATAAAAATATTTTTAGTTTTGAGTTTATTTTTTCCTTTTTTTTTAACTGAAAAATGACGTCACAATTGTAAGCAAGTATTTCGCTTCGCTTACGAAACTACTTCGCTTAATGTTGGCAGGGCCATTCTTATCTGATAAGTAATAGTACTAATGTAAGTTTATGAGTTTTATACACATTTTTTTTGTCATTGTGATATATTTTGGAACTTATGATTATTTCATAGTAATACCGTGGACTCGTTGTCAGAACGTGATGACACGTACACAGCCTCCCCAAAGATCGACTACAGCAGTCAGTTCGAACTAAAACTTGGCCCGGACGACAATCCAGACTTTATAGGATATGGTAAGTAATTGAACACTTCCAGTTTCAAACCAGACAGTCAACTTATCTTGCTATAAACTTATTACAACATTACCTGTTTCATCAAAGTTGGCTCTATGAATATATTCATCGATTGAGTCCAAGTGCTGCCTTGCTTCTTAAATTATACAAAGCTAAAATGTAAAATTAATATTGCAATTCAGGAGACAAAATAGAAGAGATGAACACGTGTGCAGTGATTGACGCTATGAGAATATGTGGCAATCGACGCTTTAATGGCGTACCTAGCAACTATGTAAGTAAACAATTTTGTAAAAGTGTTTTCGATTGTATCTGTAGTGACTATTACTAGTATCTATAGTGTACTCTAATTCTTGAACTCGTAAATTTGATCCGCGTCTGAGTTCGTTCGTTCTTTGAGTTTGAGTTTGAAGACTGTTCTTACAGCACCTCTTTGCCTACAATAAATAATACTGTAATAGATACTGAAATCTTAGGCCCAGACTTAAACAGGTTTTTAAGTCACTGGTTGCTTTTTACAATTTCAGTAACGTCTTCTCTTACATTATGCTTAGATATAACGAACTTATCATGGTATGACGTAACATCAAAGTTAAATAATAGGCTACAAATGTTTTTGAATATTTTTTTTCCTTTTTTTTGATTATAGTTTCGTGTACAAATAGCAATTCATGATTATTTGCTCTAGTATATGTTATTTCCATTATAAGCGCTAAGGAAGATTTTTGAGCGCAAAACAAGAACAGCCTTGCGATTCTGTAACTCACTTTTCGAACTCTCACAGCGACGGTCGCGCTCAAATCAGTCGTGAAGCAGTCATTTTACAATTTGGCATTCTGATAAACAATAAACTACAAGCTTATCAGAATGCCAAATCGTAAAATGACTGCTTAACGACTGATTTGAGCGCGACCGCCGCTTCGAAAACCGCTGTGAGAGTTCGAAAAGTGAGTTACAGAATCGCAAGACTGAAATTAATTAAAGATAAAAATGGTTTCCAGACTATATCCGTAGTAGACTGTGGTGTAACAGCACGTAGCACGGACATCGCAGCAAGTCATGGATCGAACGTACACGAGAGTTGTATTTAAACTTTCCAATCCTCTTATATTCTGTATATTTGCCGGCAAATAACTTGGCCTAGCTCATTATATGCACAGAAGTCTGTTTTAGAACTTGACACCACTAAAGTACATCTATGCGAACCCACCTTGAAGATATTTGCCAAATTACCTGTTCGATGCTAGCTAGTACTACTTTTTTGAAATGTAGAAATAATGTGTGATCTATAAACGTAAATTGGATAAATACAATTTGACCAATTAATTAATCACCGTGCCAAATCGTTGTGCTATTTTTTTTAGAGAAAATAGTTGAAATTGAAATGTATATGTATTATGTAACGGAGATTAGAATTTTGTTACTTTACCTTAAAATGTAATATTTAAAGTATCAACGTTTAAAAACCTCAAAAATGTTATATTATATTTCAATTGAAAGGCTGATTTACTATAGAAATGTTGTATAGTTACTTTTAAATTATAAAAATTCATGAAATAATAATTGCAAGATTCGTATAAAAATAAAAATTATGGTTGCTATTCGTTATAAAAGATAAATTATTGAAACTACAATAAATTGTTTTATTATGATTTTAAAAAATTGGGTATTTTGTTATTAAAGTAAGTCGTAAAAATACAGGTTTCGTTTACATTTATGAATACGTAAAGAAAATTGTAATTAAATGTAAGGTTTTATATTAAACTTATTATTAAGACAAAATTGTTATAAGGACTGAAAATTATACAATGAAGTTAAAATTGTCAATTTATTATTATATTTTATTACATAGCACAAAACAACATGTAAGACAAAATTATTTGTTGTCAAAAGTAGTTTCTTACTTAACATTAACTTAAATTAGGCACCACGGATAAGCGCTTTTTCCAGAAATGTAAAATAAGGTACTAAAATTCGCAAAGAGTAGGAGATAAGATACTTCGAGACCATTCGTCAATAATACGTTAAATAGCTTGACACGGTACCGCGCGATTGACAATTATGGCGTTTTCTAGTATCGCTGGCCAAGGGGTGGCAGCGGAATAGTTGTAACATTCCAAATACATATCAATTTTCGAAGCCGGCAGCTACAGCTTCGATTAACAACTAAGAATAAGAAAATAACAAGTAGCATGGACTTCAATCAAAGTGAATGATTTTAAACAATAAAATCGTATGTATTGTATCCAAAGTACATTGACTACACTTTTAATAAATTTTTAGTTCGGTATTGATTTTAGGTCACTCAAATTTCATTTGTTTCATTGTGATATTGATATACTGACGTAAACCATGGCATAACAGTTTTACACAAGTAAATGAATACGCAGAGATTTAGCACATTCAGTTGGGGTAACATTCAGAATCGTTTGCGAAAAAAAGACCACAGCTGTCTCGTTTTCGATGTGTTTCTAGATATTGTATATATAATGAACTGAACAACGAATAATTTTTGTCAATTTTTGGCGTATGTATATTTGGTCGTATATAGAAAAATATTTTTTTCGTGTTAAGATACATTTTTGATGTTGTATGTTGTATAATCATTGTTTTTTGTTGATTTGAGTGTATTGTGTTGATTTTATAAAATATACAAAATGTTACGTTTAGAATATACTTCATTACGGTGAATTGCTGAAGCCGTTTTTGAGACAATGAACATGGGTTATATTATTTATAGTTCGTATTGCCATCAGTTAGTAAGCTTATTAATCCATCCCTGCAAACAACTTTACATAACTATTATTATTTATTTTTCTGTAAATGTGTCCTCTACATTAAGTACGAACGATACATATTATTAAAATAAAGGAATAGTTAGTAGGATTAATTGTGGAGGAACATAATACCTGCTTTATTTTTGCTGAAAAACTGAGGTTTTTATATTGACTATATACGTCGTGACAAAATATTGGTTGTGTAATAAAAACCTATTTACATGATAGATAGATTATAGGGAGAGTGATTTTAAAATTTAGCACCCAGTGTGTGTGCAATGAAACAACACTGGACATACACTGGGTGCTTGTAAATGGTTATCATTAATAAAAATGTAATTTATGTGTATATACATTTCGGGGTGGAATCTTAGCGCAGGTCAGTATTACCCCATAACTAAGCTGCCCGTTTTACTTCTAACAACAAAGATGACAAATTTTAAAAATGTACTAGTTTCATAACGTTAATATTGAGTTACGTCAATCTTGTAGCCATCAACCTATTTTATGAGAAGATGCAAAGGGATTGGAAATCACTTCAAGATGTAAAATTTAAAGCTGACATTTTTCTCTCGTAACCTGTCGAGAACTTGACCGATAGCAACAAAATTATTGATAGGCTTAAAGCAACGTACCGGCTCGTAGCTCATAGCAATATGATGATAAATCGTGCTACATACGATTTTTAAGGTGTCTTGTAGTCCTACAAGACACCAATCGTATTAAATATGTCTTGTTGAATGTGACCTCCATTATATTGAAGATACGGATGCATTTCTTTATCGTAAATTAACTTTCGAATTATTCAAGTTATTGTTGTAAATATAAATGTTTATAAAGTATATCTAGTTTTAACATTGACTGATACTAATTATGTAGTAGTCCAATAATATCATGTAATGATGATAATTGTGAATGGTTTTTTAATAAAAGATAAATATCCGAGAATGTATTTAATTTGACATCTTCAACTATAGTATAGAATTGTCCTTTATTGGAATCGATTCAACGCCTTCAGCCTAAAGACGCAGTTATTTTAAAGTAATTGCCAATTTGCCAACTTTACATACGTCTTACTTATCATTAAAAAAACATACGAATCGGAGTGTCAGTGTACTCAATGGACTACTTTGAAGTAATACAAATGAATAGTATAGTACATTAAAAGGGATAATTTAAATAGAGGGAGATAGAAATCGGTAATAAGGGTAACAGCCCCGCTAAATAAAATTACGATCCGCTTCTGCTATGTAAATCAATATTCTATAATCGTCTATGAAAAATGTTTATTTATTTAACTATTCATCTTCGTTTGTTATAATTAAACAAATATAACAATATAAAGTATTTACAATATTCTTAAGATACACAGTAATCATGATAATAATTTAAAATTGATAGATAGTAAACCAAAATAAGTTTAAAACGTTTGGTCCTCTTCGTCTGTGGGATGTAAGATGTAAGAAAAATGAATTATTACATATATTTTTATTACCTTTTCCTCAGATGTGTGTATGTAACAGTCCTTTCCGCTAAGTTATTGTCTATGTTTTTAAAAAAGTCGTTGGCTTTATTCAGTGATGCACCGGGATCGGAGGCTATTTGAAGTAGGTCAGTGGAAAGGGACTCTTTTGGTCCGATATATATTCTTCAGTTATATTCCTGTTTCTTCATATTTTTTGCATCTTTTCCATCGCCGTTCTAGTGATGCCCATACGTATCACCAATAATCTATGCGAAATAGTTCTGCGAGAACTAACGCAAACTATACCAAAATATTATACTTACATTTTCTAACTGTACTGTATAATATTACGCTTTTCAACTTTTCAGTAGTAATAGAATAAGCTATGTGTTTTACAACATTGTAATAAAAGCCATTCGTGTATGCGAATGTATGCGTTAACTAAAATTATTATTCTATATGGAATGTGTCCCGAGTCGACACGATTCCCATTGCGAAATATTACTTGGTAACTTTGTTACTCATTTGAAATATTATTACTAATTTTTAGCTTTGGGAATATGCTTTTAGCTATTTTATTGATACCATAATAATATTTTGAATCAAAACTATTATTTTATCAAATTAAAATACAAAAACAGATGTATCGTTACAATAACAATAGCTAAAAAATTCATTCATTCAATTGTCATCATGTTTCACCATGAGAGTGTTTCGTACATTTAGAAGTACCTGCAAACGGTTTTCCACTTAGCCTTCAAATTCAATGTTGGCTTCACGAACCTGCAGTAATTGAGGGATTACAGTAAATAGCTCCCGCTTCATTGGGAATTAACCTTATTTCATTACGCCCAGCCAGTATGAGAACGGACAATTGAATGAAAAACCGTTATAACAAATATAGATATTGAACGAAAATAACAATAAAATACACTTGGCAAGAGCCAATACGGCTTTGTTAAATTAATATTAACGCAACCCGAAATAAAGGAAATTTTAATTTCCGTTTACTTTATCTAAAACTTTTTTGTTATTACATATTTACTATTATGTTATGTTTCATATAAAAATGCAAAGTCAAAGTCAAAATCATTTATTCATTTAGGTAACACAATGTACACTTATGAATGTCAATAAAGAAATACATATTAAATGCTAAATGTTTCCAATTTTACATTTACTGCCAGTTCTCAAATCAAACGCGTAGAACGGACGAGAAAAACTGGCATTAAACTCTCCGCCACTCTTTTTAATCGCCAAGTTTTTTGTTTTACACAGTGTTTGTAAGGAGCTGCAACCACACCATGATCCACATGACATCTTGAGTAATTAATAGTTAGTTAATAATAAACATAAAAACAAAGATTTGTCTGATTTATGAAATAGGAGCACGCACTTACATTCTCGTGGGAACAATACGCAACTGTCATAGTAAAGGTAGATACACTCTTCGCCCAACCACATCCCCAGAAAGGCTAGACTGGACTGCCATAAACGCAAATGGCGTTGGTTTGGTTTTTGCAGGTAAAGTAATTGGGATGACGAAGCCTAATGGTGGCTGTACACACTCGGCGAGAGCCTCTCGCCGAGAGTCTCGACCGAGAGGACCGAGAGAAGAGCGCAGCCTGTACACACTCGTTACGTTATTTGTATTTAAAACACCGTTAATAATGGACGTGGAAACCGCTGCTGCTGTTTGTCTTTGTGCAATAAGTTATTATAATTTTCTTCACGTTTACCATAAAAAAAAATTACGAAGCCATGGCGAAGAAGAAGATGGTGGATGGTTACTATGCACCGCAACAGAAATAGGTAATTAGGTTCATAAAGTTACGTCCACGGTACGTAG